TTCTACAGAAAATACCAGCTGTACATAGCAGATTAATACTTAGCAGCTCAAGTTATCCCTTGGGGGTACATCTGCCAAATATAAATATTAATGAAAGAGAATTGTGGCAGGAAGATTAAGATTCATTAATCATTATTATTAGCCATCATCAGGTGCTAACGGGGCAGCTGCTTGGAGTGAGACCTCCTCGAGTTTACCCAGAGCACCCATTCATGAAGATGCCATAAGAGAATGAGCTCTTCAAAGGAAGGGGTCAGCACTCTGCTGCCAGAGGAAATGTATTTAGGGAGTAAATCCAAAGTTTGGTGGCTGTGGGTGTGAGCTGAGTCCCTGAAAGGATGTGGTGAGACCAGGGGCACAGTCTCTGGTTTAGGGGAAAGTACAGCCAGAGAAACCAGGAAAAGCTGCAGCTCCCATGCTCCGGTGGGATATAGAGGATTTCACAAGTTTCCCCATCTGAGGCGTTGTTCAAACACTGTGCAGCTGTCAGACCCTATTGTTAGGTTTATATTGTGCTGGGGTTTTGATGTCCCAGCCATTGCAGAGCTTTGGAGTGGGAAAGAGTTCACTGCCTCCTCCCAGGCAGGTTGGTGTCTATTTTCACAGCTTTGGTCAGCCAGGAAGCTTAACTCCTCACTCTCCACCACACTCCCTTTGCACTGCTTGTGTTGCCAGTTTCCTTCAGGTCTTATTCCTGCAAGAATTTCCAATTTATCTGTTTGCCTTTGATAATTTTGTTCAGTACAAGCCACCATGGAATGTGCTTACTCTTTGGTGTAAGTGCAACAGAAGGAGCTCTGTGCCACCTCTAGGCTTTGGCATTATTTTTTCTCAGCTAAAAACATGAGAAGGTGGCCCAGTCTCCCCTCAGACCACAGGCTATGGCTGTGCCCCACGCAGTTACTGAAGCACAGGAGTCAGGGAATGGTTCACATTGGAAGGGACCGCTGGAACTCATCTAGTCCAACTCCCTGCTCAAGCAGGATCCCCTAGACCACATTACTCAGGATTGTGTCCAGGTGTTTTTGATATCTCCAGGGAAGGAGGCTCCAGAGCCCCTCTGTCCCAACGCTCAGTCACCCTCCCAGTACAGAAGTTCTTCCTCATGCACAGAGGCAGGTGCTCAAAAAAGCAGAGCACATTCCCCTGCACAGTGGATATATTTCAAACACAAGTTTGGAGGAGTCCACAACTCAGGTGATCCTGATGTTCAGCTGTCCTTGGGGATGCATTTCTCCATTTTTATTTACCAGTAGCAGAAATTAGCCAGGACAACCGCCTTGAGTCTGCAAAATAAAGTACATAGCACACGTATTTTTCCACATGTGAAACTCTGCTGATTGCTGCAGAAGTCAAGGACTACTTAATTTGGATCAGGTGCTGGCATTTCTGCCTTGCCCAATGCCTGCAAATCCCATCAACCTGCATTCCTGGGAAAAGCAAAAGTGTCCCCAGGAGCCTGGGAGGAGTTAATGGGAACTGGTAGCACTGGGGTAGGGACAGACAGATTTATGGGGGATTATGTAGGTCAGCAGCCTGTTTGCTTTTTCACCATCCCTTCCCACCTACATCATTAACTGAGAAAGGGTTGCAGGCTGGGCCAGCTTGTGCCTTCACCCCAAGCCACCTTTTCATCTTTTAGGGCACAGGTTTATTTTGGGCAGGTACCTCACTTGGGTCCAAACACGTTCATTCTGGTGAGATTTAGGATATAGCTCTAGGTATGTACAGAAATATGTCTATGTGTCAGGACAGGCTGATGGAATCCATTCCAGGGTCCAGGTGTGACAGAAGCACAGCTGCTTCCCCTCCTGTTGCATCAGCTTCCCTGTGGACAACCAGACCTTGCAGCCTTTGCTTCTTCATTCCTTCGTATTTCCACGTGTTCCTGCTGCTGATCAGCATCCAGCACAGCCCTCAGGCACTACCTTCAGCCTGCCCCTGCTCTGCAGAGCCCAGCTCCTCATCTCTGATGTGGTTCCTAAATTGCATTGGCAAAACAGCGAATCCTGGATTAGGCTGGCCCAGCAGGAGAGCCGTGCTGTTCCCCAGCCCTGGGCTTACCCAGTGATCTGCATGTTCTGGCATTTGCATGGAGGTGTATATTCCAGGTATTCTCTAGTCACTCACCATAAATACAGTTCTGAAGGGAAGCCAAGTTGTCTCCTATTAATGACTCACTTCCACTCCTTCCCATCACGTTGCTGGGCAGGGACTTGTTTAAGCTTTTGTGTTTCATACTGAGTTCTGCTCTTCTGTGATAAGTGCTACTTGCCAAAAGCTTCCTTTCTAGCAGAGTTCAAAATAAAGTTATTAAGTCATATATATTGACAAAATCCAGATTTGGGAGAGAAAGGAAGAGCCCTGCTAAGGCCAGTCCTTGGGACAGGATGCACACCAATGTATTTAAATGTTTTGGAGCTAATTTTCTCCCTAAAACAACATTTAGTGGGGTTCAGGTTTATATAAGGAATGTGCTGTTCTGTTCCACATGGGGAGACTGGAGGCCCAAGCTCCACCTTGCTGAGGCCGATGGAGTTCTCTCATTGATTTTAGGAATCTTTGGGTCGAGATCTTAAGGTCTGCAGTGTTTTACTAAAACAAGTCTCTTGTACCTGACTTCAGAGACAAATTCCATGAGCTGATATGTCTCTATGAGTCTTTTTATTGACTGTGAAGTAGGTTTTTCCCAAGGGGCACACAGACTAACAAATATTGTGGCTAGAGTCTTGTCCCCCCTTTCCAAATGAAATCTGACATCAACTGTTGAGAAAGAAGAACCTGAGTTATCAGAAATCCCCAAAGACATCTATGATCATCACCACTTTTGTTATTAAAGGGCATACTTTGCTATGGTTTGTTTGGTTTGTTTTATGAATTAACTTTGTGAATTCATGAGATTAAAAGCTTAAACAGGATCAATAAAGACTGCACAGCATGCATCAAAGTAATTGCAGATTGTTTTTCAAACTTCAGAGGACTGCTAGTGTTGAAGAACTGAAGGTTTGGGGCAGTAATTATGAATTTTTCAGATAGAGAGATTAAAGGCAATACATTATCAGTACACAAGGATGAGCCACGCTGTGTGACTAGGACCACTCTTGGGGTGAAGGTACATGATGTCCTCACTAAGGCAGGAATCTGATCCATGGAGCAGTTTGAGAAAAATGGTTTGCAGCCTGTGTACAGGATGTTAACTATGTGGAAAAGTAATAAAGCAGAATAAACCTTAGAGAGAAACACAGACACTTCCAGCACTGCCCTCCATCCTTTTTACCTCTGAGCAAGATACGGAAAATACATTAGAATCATGAGTTTTGTTCAGCTCCGATTTCAAGATGGCAACATATGATATGATATTTGCCAGCTTTTGATTAAAATTAGGCTTCTATGATCCATGAGCATAAAGCTTGTCATAGTCTCATCTCCCAAATCCTTGATTTCTGATGTTCACTGTTCCCATAAATTATCAAGCACAGCCAATAGAAAGGAGCTCATTTCTATCTTGTAAAAATCAGGCACATTTGTGGATTTGATACGACATTATTCAAAGTATTTTAATATGCCAAATTTATGGAAATGCTGAATTTAATATTCACAGAGCAACCCACACCTGCTTTTCAGACAGAATTCCTTCCCTCCTCTGCTTGATCCCTTGAGTTTGGATAATCTCACTCTATTTTGTGTGGCTTTCTTTCAATGTACTCAAGACGTCAGCCTTCTTTGTGCTTAAAACCAGAATCTATTTCATACCTAAGTCTGACTTAGTTCATCTGGAATCTGATTTATCTTGTTTTTCAGCAGGAAGGTGGCACTGGGTGCCCCTGGGAATGCAGGGATGCAGAAGACATGCTTGGTGCTCCACCTGCATTCCTGATTCCAGCTGGGGCAGCTGTGCGAGGACATTGGGACAAATTTTCACCAGTCTGGCTGACCCCAGGTTTTTTAGCATTTTTTAAAAACCTGGGGATGAGGCACCACTTCATCCTGAGCAGTGCCTAGAAGAAAGACTGGGATCAAAGCTCCCATGAGGGAGCTCTGCTGGTTTCCAGCATCTAACCAAAATCCCTTTCCAACTGGTCAAAAACCACTGAAGTGCCTTGTAAGCAAATATTATTATTAAACCCATCATGTGCCTTGCATGTCTGTAGCACTCCTGGTCTCAGTGTCACACTTACCACAGGGAAAACCGATGGAGATGTGACTAGAGGAATGTGATGGGTTTTTCTTCCTCGATCTTTAAAATAGGTAACATTGGTACATTTAGACACAGCCTGTCAATAAACTGTCATACCAGTATGTAATCATTACACAAACACTTGCAGATTTACTAACTGGTTGGAGTGAACTCACCTATCTTGAGCAGAAATTGTCTGTGCACAGTGCAGGGGTGGGAAAGAGCCGTGTTTCATCAACTCGTGTGGTGCCTTGAGGAGGTGACATAGTTGGCAGTAAGGAGAGGATGCTGCAGAGTTTCACAACTGCAAAGAAAAATACTGAGCTGACCTTTTTTGGTTAGATCCTCATCTGGTGTAAATCAGTCAAGATTCACCAATGCCAAAATGTTTCTGGATGCCGTTTCCCAGTTTTCCAGCATCAAAACTGATGTTTATGGAAGCTCCTAGTTGCACATATTAAAGTAATCAAGAGTATTTTCATTACTGACTGTGCAAGTGAAATGAAGACAGACATAATGGAAATGTGTTCAAAAAATCATATTGAGAAAGAATTTAAATAAAAACTTTTTTTTTCCTCCTGTGTATGGCTGTTGTGCACAGGTCTAACAGATGCCAGTAATACAATGGAAGGATTGTAGTGAGGGGGAAAGGAAATGTATTTCCCAATCCCAACTGGAAATTATGTCTCTTTTTAATTCTTCCAAGCAACTTAGATTTAAATAATTCTTATATTTTTCCCATTGGCCATTTCCCATAGCTGCACATCCCTTGAGTGAGCATCTCGCTTTTGGGGTTAGCTACAGAGAAGCACAGTTCTCTTCCTCATATCTAGAGAAATTTTATTGGATTTCCCAAGCTCCTGTTCTGCTTCTTTCTGCTTCCATTACACAGTCTGGGATATCACTTGTTGGGGTTTTTTTTGAGAGAGGGAATATATTAATTTTATTCAAATTCATGCAGATTTTCATGTTGTCATAGGTTTCAGGAGTTTCTCCTTCACATCTGCATCCACAAAACCCCTTGTTTCTCCTCAGGACACCAAGCAGTTGCCATGGAGATTCCAAATACTTGATCCTCCTCTTTGTCCTCCCTCTTTGGCCTCCAGACCTTCTGTCCTGGTGAGGGACTCTGCTCTTTGAAGTGGGCCAGTGCAAATGCCTCCCTCAGTCCTGTAGTAAGGGAAGTACCCACTGCAGGGAGGGGGCTGCTCCAGCTCCGGGAGCCGGCTGGGGAAGGAGGGCGCGGGCAGCTGGAGCGCAGAGCTGCCGGCTCCCAGCAGCTCCTGGGCTGGGGGCTCTTCCTTGCTTGCAGGAGAAGTTGTCTTCAGCCCCAAACTTAGCAGGATGCTCTGAAAAAACAGGTACAGGACCAAGAGCTGAGCTGTTGTCGGAACTCAAAATGTCCCTCAGACATTTTCAGAGGTTCCAGGCCTTGGTCAGAAGCATTTTAGACCCTGGCAAGCAGCTGAAAACAGCTGTGATTTTGAGTTTGAGCCATGGAATGAGTTACCAACTTTGAAGGTGGAACAAGCAGTCACAAAGGGTTAGATGGTATAGTAAAAGTAGTCACAAATTAGAGGGGAAAATTTTTTAGTATTGTACAGGGGGGTTTTAATACCTGTACAGGGGGGTTTTTACTTTGTACAGGGGGCTCAGGAGTTCTAAGATGGAGGAAAGTGGGCCTGATCCTGTTCTTCCTCCTTCTTCTTCCTTACCTCCATGTTCTTGGTAATGTTGGCACTCACAGATTGGTTTAGAGTAGAAAAGCACATTGTAACATAGGTAGTAGGTATTGGGGAAAATCTGTAAATATGTAAGATGTAATATATCATGTAAAAGATAGCAGCAGCCCTGGGCGGGGGGAGAGACGACGAAGACACTGGACAGTGAGGGTGTCAGGAGTGTGTGTGTCTCTGCCTGGGCCGCTGACCAAAGCAGCCGCAGCGGGTGAGGACAATCTTTTAGATAACCAGCAATAAACTGCCTTGAGACCGAACAACAAGAGGCTGCGGAGTTTTTCTTTGGAAGCACGGGTTGGAGGAGAGACTTTACCACCACACGAGAGCCCCGAATCAGTCCCGGGGTTCTCACAAGCTGTCAGATGATGGGATGTTGGAACACTCAGCAGACCCCTGCAGCAGCAGGACAGGTCCCACCCAGAGTCCCACACAGCAGCAGTCTGGGGCCCACAGGCTGTTTCACAGGAGAGGCGCCTTGCAAGGGCTGCTGTGTCTCAGCCTTGCAGATAGCTCTGCTCCTGCTTTGTGTGTTCAGAGCACTAGTCATCATTTTGTTCCTAAGGGGCTAATTTTGCATAACATTTTGATGTGATATGGGCTGCCTCTCTTATTCTCTTCATACCCCTTTTAGAAACATTCAATGTGAGTTCACCTGAACCTAATTCGCAGGTATTTAACCCAGTTTAACCATATATGTAATCTGTATGAGTGGTTGGCCAAGAAGCTCTTCAGATGTCCTGCAGCATGGAAAATATCCTGTGGAGTGGCTGAATAACTCACTTGCTTATCCTGCTTAGTGTCAGCCTTGCTTTCATTGGAGCTTTTTTCTCTTTCTGTGCAGATGTAAGGCGTGGGGCAGACACAGATGTGGGATGTTCTGTAGTAGGGCAGGTACTCAAGGTCCAGCCCCTGGGAATCTGGTTCAGACTGCTCAATATAAAGCAGGAGGTTGGGATTGAAGTCTTTGGAACTGTCTCTGGTCAGCAGGGCATTTTCCAAGCCTCCTGGGCAGGATGACAGGGCTGTGGTGGTTCTCTGTCTCCACATCCTGAAATGAAGTAATATTTGATCAAACATGATAAAATTGTGCCATCAGTGGGCAAAGGCCACAAAAAAAGTCCCTGATGTTGATGTGTCCTGCTGTACATGGCACCTCAGCCACTGCTGAGAGAGAATCAGCCCAGTTAAAGACCAAGGATTGTAAGGATTTCACATTGTCTTTCAGCTCTTTCGTCTTGAGTCTTGAAATATTTTTCTCATGTAGGATTGTCAATTAAATCTAAATACCAAGTTAGTTCCTATACTGTCAAGCAGTCTTTAGTAGTTGACACAGGAAAAATATGTGATTTTGGTGTTCTCTCCTTGTTAATTAGGAACAGCAATAACAAAGCTCAAAAAATAACCCCCAGTCTCACTACCTGATTTTTTACAGGCTACTGTCCAGCACTGTATGAAACCTTAGCAGAGAGAGTGCTTTTACCTCATTTGAGGTTAAACTTACATCAGATTTCATGAGCTGCCTTGGAAGATTCCTAGCCAAAGAAAAGAACTCCCGCAGCCTTGGGTTATTTAGGGTGATTTATGGTCTCCTGAAAATCTTTGTAGATCAGGAGTGATTATGAGCATTCTGGAAATGGAAGAACATTGAAATTTGGGTAGAGCCTGAAAAAAAAATATTGTAGAATCGTCCTTCCTCCAGATATATTCTTTTTGAGTTTTCTGTACAACCAAAATGGGCATATGTGATTCAGGTGTTTAAAAGAGTTTGAATTTGAAGTTTCAAATCAATTCTTCTTCTATCTCTGTCTTAATTTGAAAAGCTAATTTAACATATCATTGCTATATAAGGCACTACTTTACTGGGGAAAAAAAAAAAAAGATCATCTTGCTGTTGCAGGTAAACACACACACATATTTTTGCACTAGAAAATTGGTATGCTTCTTGGTTATTTGCTACTCTGGTGCTGTTATTTCCCCATCCACACTGACTTTCTCCTGCATTTTTCTTACCTAAAGCCCTGTCTCCAAGGTTTTCTGCACTTTAAGGATAACTTAAAAACATCTCATTCAAATGGGCCTGAACCTGCCCACTGGGTAATGTAACTGCCAAGCACGTTGGGAGGAGAGACAAGGGATATTTTTAGGGTTACCACATGCTCACAGAGAGTCCAGGAAGGGGAAAGGCAGCAGGGAGAGAATCATCATCCTGCATCTCTGGCTGCCATGGTGATGGGTTCCAGGGGAGCATCATAGAGGGAGAACACCAGAACACCCCACCCACCCCGGCTCCCTGCTGGCAGGGGGGTCCCTTCCCTCCTCCCCAGTACAGTGTTGTGGCATCCTGGCTTTGCTGGGATGTTTGCAGATGGTCTGGCTACTTTCTAAAGAAGCATCAATTGCTTTTAGCTCTGCCAGTGAGGTAATGAGCTCCTGAGACAAGCCCTAGTAAACCAGACATCACCTTCCTTCTCTGGTGTAGGAGAGAATGTTTAATGGGCTTCCAACCATGTGACCAGCAGCCAAAGTGACATATTCAAAAGGATAAATTTTAATAGAAATAACTTCAGATTACTGCAGGTTTTTGTTTTTTTTTTTCATTTTCATGCTAATTATTGTAAAGATGGTGATAAGTAACATTACATTCTGTTGCAAGATAATCACAGAACCACAGAGTGGTTTGGGTTGGAAGGAACCTTAAATCTTATCTTGGTCCAATCCCCTGCCATGGGCAGGGACACCTCCCACTATCCCAGGTCACTCCAAGCCCCATCCAACCTGGCTATGAGCACTCCCAGGGATGGGGCAGCCACAGCTTCTCTTGGCAGTCTGTGTCAGGGCCTCACCATCCTCTGAGTAAAGAATTTCTTCCAAACCTCTAACCTAAATCTCTAGTTTTTTAATTAAAAGCCTTTCCCCCTTGTCCTATCACTATTGGCCTAGCACAAAGCTGCTCTCCCAGTATCTGCCTTTATAATAATGCATTTCTGGTTTATAAATATAGAAGAAAGCATGAGAAATGCTCAATTGTGCCTTTTAAGGTATTTCTAAGTCATGTATTTCCATACTTTAAAAGAAGAATTTTTGCTGTAAATAAAAAGAGACAGACTTGATGATATTTGACACTGAAATAGTTATCATGGGGTGTTTATTTTTTTTAATTTAAACTTAAAACACATTTTGCTGCATTAGAGATGATTTTTCTTATTACTGCATCAACATGTATGTATTTCAGAGCTTAGCTGGCAAGTGTAATAGAGTGGAGCAACTTTATACATTAAAATACATTAAAAAATGTTCATAAATAGCTGGATAATGGAGAAGTTCTGAATATAATTCATTTGTGCATAGTATTTGATCTATTTACTGAAAATCCAAAGCTCTAAAGCACAGGAATGATTTTGAATGGACTATTATTATTCATCCCATATATTATCCTGGTTGGTGCCTGCAGTAAAAAGTGGTTTATTATAATGTGATTTCTCAGCTGCAACAGTCTGATATACAGGCAGCTGATGAAGTGTTCAGGCACCCCAAACCCCACCATCATTGAAATTCATTCCCACAAAGGTTCTGCCAGAGTTAATTGCTGTCAAGGTTCCTCATGCACGTCTTCGTTTCATTTCACAGAGTGCCAGAGCTGATGCTGGTACAAAGCAACAGGAACAAACCCCTCCAGCCTGCAGCACAGCCCAGCACAGTGCTGGAGCTTCCTCCAGGGAGCTGACACTCTGGCAGGGCCAAGAACAGGCTGAGGATTTGGGTGTGCTTCTTTCCCCTTGAAATGGAAATATGGAATTTGTAGGCAGAGGAAATAATGACTGGATATGGGAGGGACTTAGGGGAAAAGTGGGGAGGTCTCTGCTGCCTCCAGTGCACCCTGAGTCGCTGGGCTTTGGGCAGGGCATGGGCTTTGGGACAGGAACAGCTCACAGACTCAGATTGGGCTTTGGAGGTGAGTGACTGGGGTGAGCACCAGCCCATGGCTGCTGTGGTGCTCCAGGCCCTCCTGCACCCCTGGGGGCTGAGCTCCCACCTCCAGCTCCCACTGCCCTTGCAGCCTCCTCTGGCCAAGGCACAGATCTTCCTGTGCCTCCAAATCTATACCCACAGGCTGACATCCACACACGTCCTGAGCTTCAAAGGCTCTTTTGCAAAATGAGTGCATCTTTAAACATTCTTTTATGGCAATAAAACAATAGAATTATTGGATCATTAAGATTGGAAAAGACCTTCAAGATTATAAAGTCCAGCCTTTGACTGAATGACCACAAAACTGTGGGTGCAATGTTTATTCACTTTTTAACACTTCTAGGGATGATGACTCCTCCATTTCCCTGGGCAGACTCTTCCAATGTTTAACCACTGTTTCAGTGAACAAACTTTTCATAATATCCAGTGTGAACTTCCCCTGGTGCAACTTGAGGCCATTTCCCCTTGTCTTTTCTCTAGTTCCCTGGGAGAAGAGGCAACCCTCCCCTTGCCACAGCCTCCCTTCAGGTATCTGTAGAGACCAATAAATGCAATTTTCAGGAAAGGAAGGGAGAGGAAGTTTTGAACTCAGCAGAAATTTCTGAACTCTGGGACTGCTGAACAGATTTGTTGAACAACTCCATTTACATGCTATTTGCACATTCCTGTTTCAAAAATCAGCCTACATGGATTGCTCCTGATACGCCTTGCCAAAATACTTGGGAGTGATCCAAGGGAATGATCTTGACTGTTGCAGGTGGGTTGTGGACCCTTGAGAGGTGCTGGAGGTGTCAGGGAGCTCACTAATTACAGCTCATTACAGCGTGGAGGGGAAGGATGTTCTCAGCACGGTGAGTTTTGGTGCTTTAGCAGGACACCTTTCCCAACACCTCCTGACAAGGGCAGGGTGAACAGCCATGGGAGTTCTCTGTCTCAACCTCCTGCTGTTACATTTTGCTGTGGAGATCAGTGGGAGCAAAGCTGCCCTTTTGTGGAGCCTTTCAGTATTTTCTGCAATGATTTCCCTGTGACTTCAGACCTCTGTGACTTGGCCAGTTTGTTTCAACAAAGACAATTTTTATTATCTCAGTGAAAAGTCTGGATGTGCTTGTATGTTGTACTTGCTACATACACATTTTCAAGCATTAGTCATGCCATAACATCTGCTTTTTATTGGTAATTACACTATCCCCATTTTAATAAGAGGTAATTCTTAAATTTCTCATAAAATATACATGACTCCAGGGAGAGAAGGTGAAAGGTTTGCAAGCCTCTCACAGCCACAGAGCAAAATGAGTCGAAATAAATCCTTCCTGAGCAGAACTTGTCCAGCCACTCACAACAGCACACCCAGGGATGCCTGTATGACTTGCTATCCCTCTTTCTTCTAATTGTCCATGCTCTGCAGAACAGACCTGCAAAGTCTGTGCACCACAGCCCTGCTGGGGGCTGTTAATGTGCTCAGAAATGAGGACCTGGTCCTAAAATGACATGTATGTTACACCTCCTGGGTGGAACTGGACTGGAATTAGCATGAAGGGAGTTCTGCAAGATCAGGTCTGAAATGAGGAACAGTAAAAGTTTGTGGGTTGTTTCCAAGTGTTTTAGACACTTTGGGATTGCAAATAGGTGTCTGGATTAATGGAGCATACTTTGTGTGCATTCGTATTTATGGTGGACATGGTATAACAGTGTACCTGAAAAATGAGTAACATCTGAAGTAGAAGACCAATATCCAGATAAAGAATCATGAAAAGGAATACTTTTGAGCTCAATTAAAAGCTTCTAGTTTCTCATTTCTCACTGTTTCCCTGTAGGCAAGTGCTGCTGTGCTGCTTTGGCCTGTGAGAACTGGGCTCTGCAATTCCATAGCCTGTTTCCAGGGATTTTCTGGACAAGGAAGGCAGTGACAAATGACACTTTTGCAAGGTCATCTCTAAATCTTTGAAAACCAGGGAGCTTTTTCAGTGGCTCCTGCCATTCACTGAATGCCAGCAGCCAGGCCCATATGGAGCATTGTGCGCTGAGCTCATTGTCAATGCAAATGCACACAACTAGTTTTGATTAAGAACAAAATGAAGAATTGACTCAATCTGCTTTTTCTTTGTTTGAAATGCTTCAAGCCTCTCATTATCATCAGGGTTTCTTTCAGTGCAGGAAATAAGAATTTCCATAAAATAATGCTGAAAGGCACAGGGTGAAGTCAAAGAACATTTACGTTCCTAATGAATGGAAGGATAAACATGCAAAACAGATTTGGGGACACTCAACTAAACATTTGGGGGCATGTTATAGCATGTGGATTGTTTAAATTATTCAATATATATTAAGCAGTCACATACACAATGGTAAAAGGACAAAGCAGGGGGTTTGAGAGAGGCCTTTTCCCTTTGCACAGTAACTCACAGCTCTCCAGAATGTGATTATTGCATTCAACAGCCAAGGAGAGTTTGCATGGTAGAGTGCCCAAATTGCAATGTTTCCATTTGGGGGTTGGATTAGATGACCTCTAAAGGTCCCTTCCAATCCAAACTATTCTATGATTCTATGATTTATGGGAACAAGGAGCTCCTTCCAATGTGTGGAAGGTCCCATGGCAGCATTTGTAGCCTTGAGGTCACTGAGGTGGGATCAAAAAGACTTTGTGTAACCTCAGGCTGTGTTTGGAAATGCTGATGCTTGGAGGGATGTGCTGGCCACTGAGCACAGCCAGCACGCAGGTGGTCCAGCACCATTTCCCATCCTCAGGATGTGCTGGGTGGTTGGAAAATCCTTGTGCCAAGGGAAACTGGAAAGTGGCAATCACATTCCTCTCTCTTTCAACATCCAGATGATCTGGCTGGAGAGACCCTTCATTTTTATGGGGTTTAATCATAGCCAGGGCTGGCAATGTTCCTTGCAAATCGGGTGTTTGGTATTTCCAGTGCAAGACCTGGCTACCCCACGTCTGGTACTGCAGGGATGTTGTTCCGGGAAGAGGGAAATTAAGGGAAGAACATTTTTACTGAGGATGACATCAAAGAGCTATATTGCAAAGACAAGCTCTCCAAAATGAGAAAACGGGGGAATTGAAGGTGCTTTTTCCCTATTTCTCTGCATGCCTCATCATGAAAATACCAATAACAAAACCAGCTCCTGATTCCTTGTGCTGCCTGCCTGTTCCCTGGGTGGCATGCAGAGGTCAGG